CAGTCATGTCTGCATTAGAAACATTTATATACAGCCATTGCAGCAGGCGAGCTCGCCAAGCGGGCGTAGCCTGCTGAATGGAAGCAACAACTTCGGACCAAGAACCCGCTGCGCCTAATGTCAATAACCGCCGTAACGTTGTTCGTACTGCTAGTTGAGGGCCCGGGCTAATATCAACGGTGAGGGCCCGAGAGGAGACGCCAGTTGGAGACGGGTGAGGAGAAACGGCACAATGATGAGAAGCAGCAGAGGAAGGACCATATATCATCACATAAATATCAGAGCGCAAATATATATATCGTCACATGAAAAATACCGAGGTCGGGAAACCTCACAACAACCCGAGGAGCCCCCCAATTACTGGAAGCATCATCCAGCTTCGCTTGTAGAGTGACCCCTGCGTCACACACCTAAAACTGAGACGCAGCTCTATGGCTGCATATACCCCTGGTTCTAGGCTAGGTGCCCCCTACCTCTACTACTGCTACCCCCAATCCAATACTAACAACTACCGACAGCACCTACCGGCCTGGAAAAGACCCCAACTACCTCTACCATTCCCTGTGACAATTGCTGGCATATGACCCCGAAAGTACGGTCCCGATCCCAGCCGCCGCATCTATCCGTCGTCGTGCCACATCAGACGAAGGTTATTAGCAATGCCGTGTGTCCCAGTCTCAGTGCGGTCCCGATCCCATTCTCTTGTGTAATCGCCTCCCATTCTCTTGTGTATTCGCTTAACCGAACTTCCCGAAGTAAGTCTCTGAGTCTGTGTGTGTGCTTGTGTGTGTGTGAGTGTGTGTGTGTGTGTGTTGTCATATTCGCTATACACTCAAAAAAAGCATGACTGTACCAGACTGTTTCGTTGGACTTTCACCGACTTGTGTGTGTGTGTGTGTGTGTGTGTGTGAGAGAGAGAGAGAGAGAGAGAGAGAGATTTTGGGGATGATCATGTGTTTGAGATGTTCACCACAAACAGAATCCCTGTTCCACCCACATGACTAAGTATCCAAAATCAAAAGCAGCTTTACCTATCTATTTTGCACAAAATGAAGCACAGTTGAGATGAGCCAATCCCAAAAGGAAACAGTTTTACAGTTTTTTACCTCTATAGCAAGCAACATGGGCCACAAGAGATTCATTCTTATATCCCTTTCTTCACTATCTTTACTTTGCCTTTCTTTGGGATAGATATCCCTAAATCATGTGTTCTCGCAGCTCTGCTTGTGTGCGATATTGGGTGAATACCCCTATAATTTGTTCTTGCAGCTCTGGGTGATATTAGCCATCGCTACACTACACAGAATTTGAAAATGTATCTCGAGTCTGAAAACTATTCCCGTGGACCAGATACTTTCGGACTAACGGAACATTTTAAATGCATCGGTACCGTTAACCGGCCCAGATGCAATTACAAAAACGTTGTGCAGTGGACCGAGGCCCATTGTATATACTATATAGTAATACTGTGCGTTGTCAGGTTCGCTAATACACCACAACTTCACAGACAAAGCATGGCTGTGCCACACACTGTACTCTGTTTCGTCGGACTGTCACCGCTTCATTACGAGGTTGAACTGCGCCACGCACCACGTCACCCGTCGCCCAGGGTTTTACCGATAGCCGCTCTCAAGAGAGTGACACGTGGTCTCAGAGACTTCACTCACACCCACCGTGCAATCCGAGCAGAAACGTCGGTCCAGTCCTTCGGGACATCCGTTAAAAGGATTGGAACGATACAGAGAGAAAGAGAGAAGATTAGCACCCCAATAAAACATAATAATAATAATAATAAAATAATAATAATAAAATAAAAAAGATTAGGATGGCCCCTGCGCAAGGATGACACGCATAGATCGAGAAATGGTCCAAATTAAACAAAAAAAAAAGAAAAAAAAAAAGAAACGTCGGTCCAAACCCCTGACGAGAACTTCAGCAAGTCTGAGGAACTACCGTAGTAATCTGTCACAGTGATAAAAAAAAAAACACTCACTCTACACACACCCTCACCACGTCGCCCAGACTTGTCCATAGCCGATCTGAAGAGAGAGAAAAAGTGGTCGATTTCACTCACACCCACCCTGCAATCCGAGCAGAAACGTCGGTCTCAACCGCCGAAGAGAACGGCAGTAAGTCTGAGAAACTAGTCTGTCACAGTGATTAAAAAACACACTCACTCTACACAACCCATGGAGCGATGGATACCCACTGCTATGACCGTTATTACCGTCTTTCCCCCCAAACATAACGCACCCTGATAATTGAAATGTATACAAGCTGTATTTCCGGTCAGTTGCAGTCAAAATGAGGCTGCGTTGTGTCCGGCGTCAGACGGTAGTACGGTCCCGACCCTCGCCGTGCATCGATCGGCCTGAAAGGAGAGCTTAGCAAGGCCGTGTGGTGTGTGTTGTCATGTTCACTAGACACACAACTCCACAGAAAAAAGCGGGACTGCACCAGACTGTTTCGTTGGACTTTCACCGACTCATCAGGAGGTCTGTGTGCGTGTGTGCGTGTGTGCGTGTGTGCGTGTGTGTGTGCGTGTGTGCGTGTGTGCGTGTCTTCGGGTGTTGTGTTCTGAGACAGACAGCTGGGCAGAGATGAAGGCGCTAGAAGAAGAGAGAGGGGAGGGGCGGGGGGAGCGGAGGGGTGACGGACTGGATGGACTACGCATTTCCATTTTAGAGTAATGAACATGATAAAAAAGACAGACCACATTCATCCACAACCGTCACGGCCCAAGCCGATCAATCTTCATAAACGACAAATCTAAGCCTCCGAAGGCACAAACGTCACGGCCCAAGCCGATCAATCTTCATAAACGACAAATCTAATCCTCCGAAGTCGCTGCAACGGAGTACAGGGGCAGTTCACGTGCGCAAACTGAGTTACGTACGCCTTGGAGACTGCGTGGAAGAGGGAGGGAGAGAGGAGAAATAGAGGAGAGAGAATAAGAGAGGGGGAGAGAGAAGGAGAGAGAGAGAAGGAGAGAGGGGGAGAGAGAAGGAGAGAGAAGGAGAGAGAGGGAGAGAGAGGAGAGAGAAGGAGAGAGAAGGAGAGAGAGGGGGAGAGGGAGAGAGAGGGGGAGAGAGGAGGGAGAGGAGGACCACGTAGACAAGGAGAGAGGACGGAAAGCAAATAGAGAGAGACGACGGAGAGAGAAGCAGACAGGAGAAGAGAGGTGAGACAGTGTGGAAACGGAGAAAAGTGTGGGAAAGAGACGACAGGAAGGAAAAAGATTTCCGGTGAGGGGGGGAAATATAGACACTGTATAATTCCCCCAAAACTACCTAGCTCGGTAGCTAAGTAGTAGTCGGTGATTAACAGCAGCCCCACCCCCCCCCCCCCCCCCCCCCTTTCCCCGGCCAGCCTGAGAGAGTAAGAAGACGGTATTGGAAGGAGAGCGAAAGACGTTGTGGGCGAATAAATCAATACTGCAGGGATGTAAAACACACAGATAGGGGGGCGCGGATGTGACAGGAGCAGACAGGAAGACGGGGAGGAGAAAAAAGGGAGGAGAGGGACGAGGAGAGACAAGGGGTACAAGGAAGGCAAGGGGAGAGAGGAGGAAAGGGAGGAACGAGGGGAAGAAGGGGACAGGAGGAAGTGGAAGAGGTGCAGGAGGGGCTAACGAGGGGAACGAGGGGAGCTGCGCAGGGACGGGAGCGGCACAAGGAGGGGCGCAGAGAGGAAAGGGGAAGAGGAGGAGAGGGGAAAGGAGAGGAGGGCAAGCAAGGGAAGCACAAGAAAGAAGAATGGAGAAGGGGAGGGAAGGGGAGAATCATGGATCGGGATGGGGGGGCAGGCAAGGGGACGGAAGGAGGAAGGGGAGGGGAAAAGAGGGGAAGGGGGGGGGGAAGAGGAAGGAAAAAGTGAGGGAGGGAGGGGAGGGGAGGGAGGAAGGGAGGTACCTTAACGTCCGTGGGGAGTTTGTATATAAATCCGAAGTAACCAATTATCAGCCCCGCCAGAAGACCGACACCAAATCCCAAAATACTGAACACGAAACTGAAAAGCCCCATCTTCGTCCGTTTGTCAAGGACACGTGGACAAGTCGTTAAACTCCTGTTTTCAAAAGCCAACCGACCTCCCCCCCCACCCGCGCGCCCCTGCCCACCTTTCCCGCACGCCCCCGTCTCCCCCGGGGACTCTCTTCTTCACCTTTCCTTTGTCTTCCACCGTCTTTCCGCTGAGCATGCGCATCTACAGAAGAAGACAAAAAGGAGGACAATCTCGATCGATGCCGCGGCTCCAGCTGTCACGCCCAGTTGATGGCTGGCTTCTTGCCTGATACTGATTGATTTGGAAATTAACTAATCGGATAATAATCTCTCCGCAACGATCATGTCTCGCACGCCGTAAATCAATCAATCAATCAATCACGACGTTTCTCGTGTTCTGCGATTCCCGGCGAAACGCGGGAATCCATGAACCAATCACGACCGACAGACAGATCAGTGCATTGACGATCTCTTTCAATCAATCAGTCAACTGATGAAGGGATCTACCAATGCATCAATCAATCAATTAATCAATTAATCAATCGACTGATTAATCAATCAATTCACTAATCGCTTAATCGAACAATCAAGTTGATTGATTAATTAATCAATCAATCGATTGATCGATCTGTGGAGATTGAAAAGGGATCTCGTTCCTTTACTACGAGTCTGACTCTACAGGCTGTGAGATGGACGATTAAACGGACGGTTGATTGCACGGGATCGATCGATGGCTGATTTGTCCCCGCGCCATTCAATCAATCAATCGCAAAATATATCAATCAATAATCATTCCGATCAGCCAACATAAAAACTGACAGCAATACCATCAAGCACACAAAGCAAAGGATCGGCGGTGGTTGTTGGCGGCTCCACGTGGCAATCAACCTACCAATCAATCAATCAATCGACCAATCAATTAATCAATCAATCGACCAATTAATCAATCAATCGACCAATTAATCAATCAATCGACCAATCAATCAATCAATCAACGACGTCAATGACGAATGCTGCGAGATGGACAAATCAACGGACTGCGGGTCATCGGAGGCTCCACGTGGCAATCAATCAATCAACCCATCGAACGAAGAGCAACGCAAATTACGAATGCTGCAAGATGGACACATCAACAGCGCACCGGCGATTGTCGGCGGTTCCACGTGGCAATCAATCCATCAATCAATCAATCAATCAATAACCAATCAGTCGGTCAATGGACAACGTCATTCACGAATGCCTGTCGTCTAATCCTGACATCTACCCAGTTCATTCCTTGTCATCACTACAAATGAATCTACGTCTACGTCAGACCAAAAAACGGTCGAATGAGACGCACTCCGTCACATCACACGACCGTGGCATTCGGTCTCTGAGTCCCTCTCCCTCCTCCTCTTCCTCCTCCTCCTCCTCCTCCTCACCCCGCCCAAATGCACCTCCCCTTGGGGACGAATTCCCGCTCCTCCTCCCCTCCTCCTCCTCCTCCTCCTCCCCCTCCCCCTCCTCCCGCCCAGACGATCGTTCCCTCGAACATGCCAACGTGCCCAGTTGCCGCTTTCGCCGAATCAAAAAAAAAAGTTACCGATTTCGATTCAACCAAAAAGTTACCGCCAGAATAGGAAAGTTCGTTATTGGCGCCTCCAACAGGTGATCTGGAAATCCCAGGTGGCGAGAAGGATTCCCCGCCGGATGATGATGGGCATCGTATCGCCACACCACTCTCGAAACGTGAAAAATGAGAATGAACTTCCCGCTAGAACATGACCAGGTGCGCCCGCGACATTTTTGTCTTTTTCACATTTCGAGAGTGCTGTGGCGAAGCCCGATCTAGGCGACTGGCATACCTACCGCCCCAGAGACTCTTCAGACCTACTGCGTCCCGACCGCCGCTCTGCTTGACAATCCACCGCGGCGAACAGCTGATCGTCGGACCGACATCCTGAGTCGAATGTTTTGGACCGAATTTGGACGTACTGTCGGGCAAATACACGCGGATAATTTCGACTGTGTGAACATGCCCGTCAGTCCTGCCGTGATCAACTTTCTGCAAACCCCGCGCAAAAACAAACCGCCGATCACCATCGCCATGGAAATCTGGCGTGTTCGTTCTGACAGGACCGTACGTAAGGGCGTCGCCACACGACTCTCGAAATGTGCAAATTGAGAATGAACTTCCTGCTAGAACATGGCCAGATGAGGCCGTCTTTTCACATTTGGAGAGTGGTGTGGCGAGGACCTAAGATAGATGCCTACCGGCCCGGGGGGGAGAGAGACTGGCGTGTTCGTTCTGACAGGGCCTGCGTAAGATAGATGCCTACCGGGGCCCGGCGGGGGKAGAGAGAGAGAGAGAGAGAGAGAGAGAGAGAGAGGATGCACGGAGGAGACTTTAAAAAAATAAAAAAAATAAAAAATATATAATAGAAATAAATAAATAAATAAATAATAAAGGATAGTCCGCATTGGGAGCGTGGGCTAGGTCCCACTTGCACGAATTAAGAGATACTGACCGTAGATAGCGAGGATCAACGGCCCAAATCTCCTAATTTGCGCAAGTGGGACCTTGCCCCGGGTGGGTAGCAAGCACTTCTTCGACCCAAAATTTAGGGCCTCGCCACACCACTCTCGAAATGTGAAATGAAAAAGACAAAAATGTGGCGGGTGCATCGGGCCATGTTCTACCGGGAAGTTCATTCCCATTTTGCAGATTTCGAGAGTGGTGTGGCGATGCCCTTCGGCAGAAAGGCGGTCATGCACGTCCAACCCACGAGGAGCCGTACCGTCTTCCCCCGAACATAACGCACCCTAAAAGTAAAGCTATATTTGCGGCCAGATGCAGCAGCCAAAATAAGGGTGCGTTGTGTTCGGGGGAAGATGGTAGGGTAGTAGGGTGGTTGGGCGGGCGACAAGACGACCGCACACCGCTTGCTCGGAGGCCGATAGATTTTTTTTATTTTTTTTTTTATTTTTATTTTTTTGCCTTTCTTTGAACGGACATGATTTTTTTGCCCCTTTGAACGGAGACGATTTCATTACGCGGTAAATAATGATCTCACACGCGGTGAATCCAAGCTGGTGAAAAAAAAAAAAAAAAAAAAAACAGAATCCAAGCTGGTGGGTGTTCCCTCGTAATATACATGGAGTCGTGTCAGGAAGGGTCTCGCTCCACTACTCACCACATGCACAAAAGGCAAAAAGCATGGAGGTGTACCTTTCCATGTTCTAGCGAAAGGATTCGTTGTCATTCTGCACATTTGTGAGTGAATGGTGGAGCGAAGCCAGAAGGGAGAGGGGAAAGAGGTGAAGGCAAGTGAGGAATGCTTCCCAAAAAAAAAAAAAAAAAAAAAAAAAAAAAAAAGAATGCCTCATCAAAATCTCAATCTGTAGCGTATCCAATCAGGTGCCCCAATCAGGTAGCAGTTCAATCAGCAACCGTAGTATAGTAGGGGGCCTAAGGGCCTCATTAGACACCAGTGGAAATCGCCCCAGAATTTGTTGTAGCATCATTCCTCAGGGTCCTAACACCAAAACATGAATTGCCCTAATCTCCACTGACAGACACGGCTACCCTAGAACCAGACACCCTAGAACCAGATACCCTAGAACCAGAGAAAAACAGCCACAGCCATTTTTTCATTAGAGTCTAGCGAGTCGGCAAAGGTGACTAGAGAAGTTCTGGGGATTTTGGATTCTCCTCGGAGTGTCCGGACTGAGGGTACCTTTCCACCACGCTTGAAAAGTCTTGAAACTAAGGAGCATTCCTTGAAATGTTTTGTGATCAGTTTTTCCTAATCCTATCGCTCGTTTTTGGTTCCAAGGGGATGACTCCTTGAGTAGGTTGCCGTTACTTGCACTTGACAGGAAAAAAAAACAAAAAACAGAAAGAGTTGTGATTCCGCCAATCATACTCCCAGAGTCCCGAGATAAAGTATGCCCTCCCCACTCCAAAGAATGTGGTCCTTGATTTCCAAGTCTTCTTGTGAGGAGACTTGAGAATTTTAGATGAACAGTATATCTTCCTTGAAACTGCAGGACCAGTCCTTGAAATTTTGTAATAAACGTGTTGGTGCTCGTTGTAATCCTTGTCGTGAATCCTTGCTTGTTTTTGTTGGCGCCAATCTTATCGGCTTTTTTTTGTTTTACGGCATTTTGTTCATGGTTATCTATTGGCTTCCGCTTGATTGGATGCCCTTTTGCTATACTACTATCAAAATGGTTTGATTGTCGTTGTTGATTTCGAGGGTGGGTACGAATGTCATTTTAAATTCGTTTGTTCACCCGTGAGGCCCGAACATTGTTTTCTTTGTATGGAGAGATCGTCATCATTATCATCTCGTTTGTAGAGACTTGTCTTCTAAAATTTGGGCAACTCCATCCATTCTATTTTGTTTATGAAACTTGTCTCAATTGTGTGACTTGCCTTTGTTTTTGGATAGGGTCGAGGTTTCCTTCCCCTTTTTATATTTTTCACCGGGTATATGGTTTGTGTCTCATCCTTATGAACCTAGTTTAGTTCGCAGCCCGTCAGGGCCGTCAAGGGTGCGTTTTATACCCCTGAACCATTTTTCGTCGTTTGGTCGTACCGGTCGCCCATTCTGGTCCAAAGGGTGGTTGGAAGGGTGGTGAATTTGCTAGGGGAGCAATTCATGGGGAATGGGCAGCTGTTGCTTGCGGAGGACCGGTAGCTGCCCATAGGAGGCGAAGGAGGCCGTGGTCCTTGAGTTGAACATTTCAAAATCGAAGCGGCATGGGTTCACTTTTCTCGAATAGAAGGGCACTTTGAATAGACCGCGTACACATTGTATTTGGATACAGAACGTACCTTTTCTAATCGGATTTCGAAAAGAAAAACCTCTTGTATTTATAGTATTTTTATATAGAACATTACCTTTTTTTTTTTTTTTCAAGGTCAATGCCTGCCCTTGTCTTCCCGACCACTGACATGCTGCAGGGCTCTCTCTCTCTCTC